CTTTTCACCATTTTCTAATTTCTTTACTTAAATTGGTTCATTCTAATAATAATAACTTAGTAGTGTACACCCGAAGAATGACCATTTTAAAGTACTATGTTATTTGGGTTAGGCATTTTAGATCCATCAGTTACTTTGCATAGATAGGAAGCTCGTGTTTATGACCATAAGGTGCGTATGTCTTTGCTGAATATAATTTTTATTATAATTTTATTATTATTTCAAATTTTTTGAATCTTAAAAGGAATAAAATCGTTGACCACCCCTCCAATGTAACTGTGTTATTATACATTTTATCAATACAACACCACTATAGTATAATTGCTAGGTACTATAATATATATAGGTAGGTACCGAACGCACTATAGGGAAAACGGCAATGTTTTACCCACGTCATCGTAATTTGATTCCCGCCGTTCGTACCGATTACGATGACGGTGACCTAATATTTTCAACGACTATTGTATGGCTTTTCACGTATACTATCTTCTCGTCAGTCGTCGTAGTCGATGTGAAACAATAATAACGCGCTCGACCAAACATGATACAATGTATAATATTATTATAATATAGTCCGCCGCATTGCACTCTATAACCGAATTATAACACGAATTATAACTATAACACATTTTTTACGTATACCTGCAGCATTCAATGTAACCCAATAAACACATAAACCTAGGTTGTGCATCATATAATATTTTCATATCATAAATTCATATAATAATAACAAATGGTCCCGTAGTATAATACATATTCATCCCTTGTAAAATACGTAGAATCCAATTGAAATCGCTGCATGCTTTTACCAAAATTCGAGGGACAAACGAACACAATGTTGGTTTGACCATATATATCAACCGATATTTTATAGTGTGAAATTCGATGCGTTTGAATTTAATCTTTTATTATTTAACAACAATGCGATGTAAAAACGTTTCGGTTTACTTAAAAATTATATAATCTCTAAGGGTCTGAAAATAGGAGTGTGTCACAACACAGAAACTTTCATCGTAAACTATTGTTTATATTATATGCTCTAATATATGTAACCTCGACCACGACGTCATATCCGATGGACCACACAAAGAGAAGTACGAGGGGTGCCAACCGCGAAACGATTCCCCATAGTGAAGGACTAGTGATTTTTGTTATGAAAATAAAAAATAATATCTCGATATTATATACCTATTATAACTTAAAAAGGATGCAAAAAATAAATAAAGACCATTTTACAAAAAAAACATAAATAAACCTTAGATACCTATTTAATAATATAATGTAATATGAATGGCATACACGATACATACATTATAGAACCTCATTGACTGATCGCTCACGTTCGTGCTCTTCGACGAACAGTAATATTATTACTTTAAACTTAATTATACTGATAGGTACTTCATTACTTCATAATTCAGATAATTGATAGATGCACAATAATATATTTAAATGGTTTGGGGGAAAGAATATAAGAAACTTAACTTACCGTCTAAAGTACTTATATGTACATAATATATTACATTTATTACGCCTTAGTATTTACACGCTTGAGCTTATTAAAATCGCCGATCTGCCATGGCCCATAGGATTGCTTCAAAGTGTGTGTACTTCGAGTGTTATCCTTGGGCGGGAGTATCCGAACTGTGTGTGCAGAAGGAGCAATGAACCGACAGGTCAACAATAATAATATTAGAAATTAAAAAAATTAATACAAACTAATTGCTCACGTGGGTGGTATAGAGTTTACGATATTTTTGAGAAAAGACATTTGTATCGACTGGGTCACACAGAGGTGGTCCTCGATGTTCGCATACTTCCTATATATTATGACATATGGGTCACACATGGCAATGATAGTAGGCAGTGTCGGGTGGACAACATTTTGAATGTCATGTTAATATTGCAAATGATTAATTATTTTCGTTTAAATCGATTTCGTTATCGGTGCAGCTTCGGGTGATCATGTATAGGAGTATACCCTTGGGTAAATAAAAATTCGGGTGTACCAAACTCCGATGACCTATATCTTGGCGTATTTTTGTTCATACTGCACGTGTGCAGATAAATGCAAGACATGTGGCATGTGGTAGTTATGTTAGGTTTGTTGTTTATAATTTTATCAAGTGAGACAATCTCAAGAGATAAGATCATTTTGAAAATATGTCTTACAAATGTGTATGGTGTCGTTCAATTGATATACGGTTACATTCGAAGAAACCGAGTCCGTTTACCATAATAATATAATATCGATTTTACATACGCATGTTTCTTTTCGTTTTACGATAGCGACGATAACGTTCAATTTCTCAGAACCCGGCTTCCAAATCGGCGGCAGGCGCGCAAACGAATTAATGTTCCCCGGCTATTTGTTATAAAGACAGAGTGTATTATGCGAAAGTAAAAACTCGGTCGATTTTTCTTTTTTTTTTCCTTTTTTCATGTCCAACTTTCAAAGGAGGAAAGCCCAATCGCTTTTCACGTGAAAATAAACGGCGCTTAATGCACTATTGTAAATCGCATTATCCACGGGCTCTTTGACTGTTTAACCGCATCGCGCCGCGAATCCAATAAACCCGATCATTACCCGCCCCGCTACCCTTTGAACTATAGACGACAAATAATAAATTACGTCGTTATTATATTAAGCGCGGCTGGTAGGGCGATGCAGCGGAGGCAGAAATGGCAAAAGTCGGACCGCCGCCCGAGTGTAGACTGATTGATTTATTCCGGATGGACGAACGGCATCACTCGGCGGTCGGCCGGGGGTGACGGTCGGCGAATCGCGTATAGGAAACGCAAAAGGATAATGCGATATAATATCTATATCCTGCACGTCGTTTCGACCAGGATCGTCGGTTTTCGGCTCCGGCGGAGGGGGAAGCGAGTACGGTAAAGTTATACTTTATGCCGAATGCCGCCGTCGCGTAACCTTATTAACCCTATCACTCCTCATCCACCCCCGACAACCACAGCACCGGAACGCAATACGCGTGTAATTCAATAAATTGTTGCAGCGTATAATGTTGTTATGTACACGAGTATGGATATAATATATATGGGTAGTGGGTACCCATATTATATACGCACAGATTTTCAACTACTGAAGTCTGTCGTTATTTTCAACTGTCTTGCAAAATAGCTGTAAGGTTGTGGCCATGTCATCATAATATGTCATTAATATTTATTACACTCTTATTTTATTTGGAGAGCCTCCCCCCTCCTTTCTTGGTAGTTTTGACTAAACTCGTCAATTTCAATTGTATATAATTCCCGATAACCCGTACCTTGAAGTACGTACTTCAGCACAGTTCATAATAATATTATAACCATATACCTAGAAAATAAATTTAAGAATTTATAAGAATTGGCCAATAAAAAGCTTATCGTATAAAATCCATATTAACGTATTATCTTTACAGCTATTTTATATTAAAATAATTACAAGCTATGCGTTTTGAATAATTTATATTATTTAAGAACAGCTAAAATTATAAGCTTGAAATGTTTCAATTAAAATTAAATCTTTTTTTTTATATGATTAAATAAGTATTATTGTGTCATTGGTGTCATTGTGATATATAATGATTTTTACTTAATTATTATTTTACTACATTATTAAATTATTCACAACATGTATTGTACATTTTATATTGATGTGTATAGATTGAAACTATTTGTATAACTTAAAACTTATTTTTAAAAAAAATGTAATAAAATCTATAATATTCTCGTTAAAAGATTTTAAATTTAGGAACATATTATTATATGTTGAAAAACTCTCAAGTCTCAATGACTAGTCGATTTGAGTATTTGGAATTGTCTTCGGTCGTTTCCGTCTTTATGGCATTCGTTGGGTTGTGTAAGTATACCTACCATTCGTCATGATTCACACCATCGCACCACGGGGGTTCTTTTTTGAGAGATAGAAACATGGATATTGTGTGTGTGTGTGTGTGTGTGTTCTATGCTCATCGATTATAACCTATAATATATATAAATATTATAACCTATACCATCTACGTCTCCTTTGCAGTTCACTATAGAATTGTGTCATATTCTATAATATTGTTTTTATTTCGTTGAACTTAGAAATTTTTTACCATATAAATCTGTCCTAATTTTGAAATTACATTTACGATGTATTAAATATTGAAATGATGATTTACTTATCGAAACATTTTCAAAGATAATAAGTTTCTATAGTGAACAAAACTTAAAAATACATGCTGCAAAATCTGATGATTATATTATAATATTGTGACAAAACACAACGTACCTACGTTACCAATAATGCGATTGTTAATTAAATATTTTATTTTAAAATGTAAATAAAATAGAATCATCCAAAAAAAAAGGAAACATAAGATAAAGAGATAGGTAATACAAAACAGCTATAACAAGTAGCAATATTTAATTGTTTTATTATTGTTATTATTTTATTTTTTACAATCGTCGGGTTAATCTCACAACAGTTAATTACTATGGATATTATTTTATTAATACACATAATATTATAATAAAGTAGATCATGTTATTGTTATACCGAATCTGCTATAATAGTATATAACATAAATCATAATTAGTTTTAGACGTCACTCATTATTTTGTTATTATGTTAACCTAACTATATACAGCATATTGTATTTATTACGCAGTAGAAGTAAAGCGTTTTCATTTTGTAATCTTGTTTATTGCTTTTATTGATAATTGTAATATTATAGTTAATATTTGGTTGGGACAGAGATCCACCATAGCAATTAATGCTTTGTAAGTTTGTAACTATATGTGACACCGTCGCAGTCGTCTAGATAACTAATAAGTTTCATCGTAAAGGGGGTGCTCGTGGCAGTAACGATATAGGTATATATCAACTGCAGTGCACGATAGATATAACTTCATTGACTCGATTTCTGTTTTGAATGTCATTATATAAATTACATTGTGTGTACTTAATGTTGACGTCCGAAATAATGAGTGCTTTTTGTTTTTGTATGCAGTCGGCAACCCGAGAAAACAGCGACGTGAACGAACAACATTCACCCGGACGCAGTTGGACGTGCTGGAAACACTGTTCGCTAAAACTCGATATCCGGACATATTCATGCGCGAAGAGGTAGCCTTGAAGATCAACTTGCCCGAATCCAGAGTACAGGTAATTTATTCGTTTGGTTACATGTTATTTGTTAATGATTTATCATTATGGTTGGAATTGTGTTATCACCTTAGAGGGTCTTAGAATTTTGAAAGATGGAAATATAAATATTCTAGAAAGCCACGAAATTTAAAATATTGGTAAATATACCTATAGATCGAATTCAGGAACAGTGTACATTTTACTGCTTTAGTCTTATCGTGTGCATTATAATATTGTATAGTTCATTGTTCAATATGCAGCTACCTAAAAATGCCCGCTTTCCAAGAAATATCATTAAGAAAAAGATATTTGAGTGGTATGACGTACTTGATGTCTGACAAAGTATTTCGAGACTTATCAAACAACTTAATCTATCCATTTATCGAAAACAAATATGAGAAGAATAATCCTCGGGAATGCGAACATGGATTTTGTCGCATTTGATATGGCATAGGTGTGGAGAAAATCAGTAGGTACCTATCTAACTATACGTATTGACGTTATCCGAGATTAGGTTGACGAATAAAAAAAATTCGAAAATCCTTTAAAGAGTATACCTAGTAAAAATAATGTCTGTCAGTTACGGGACTTTGTCGCCACCACAATACCACCCTCTCACCCCCCTCTACCCACAAAAACGATAAAGGCCGTAGCAATGGGCGATTGGGGCGTTGCGTGAGCGGCCGAATAACCCCAGCCTGCTGCGGCTGAGTATAGAAGAGCCCCCACCCTCCACCGCGGTATGCACTTTATGGTGGTGCGCGTGCGTCGCTAGGGGAGGATAACTCTCGTCGTCCTTCCCGACACTTTGTATGTATATACAGTTCGTCCGTTGTTGGTTAATCCCGCCTCCTACCCCAATTTCAACCACCCCTTCCAACGGCCACTATACTTTGAGTGAGCTCGCGAATAATCACCGCCACGCACACTTCCGACGAAAAATGACGGTGTTATCTGTCCCGTCGGTTGTACGTCGCCATTGTAGCTTACCCCCCTCCCATCATCACTAAACTTTTGCCTTTCCCCGCTCCAGACATTCTCTTATATTATAATATGGTGTATACTGTAAAGTACGACTAACCTAACCGAGGACAACCGATTAGACTTTCTTGGACCAAGGGAATTATTTTAATAATGTAATATTAGGTGCTGATGAGGTCATTAGGTTAGGTTACTTTGCGCTGAGAAGATAAGTGACAGTCGATAAGTCAGCAGATATGTCGAATAATATTATAATTTTGGATCCAATCATCCAAAATAATATTTTTATAGGTAATCGGCTTTCGAAACTGTATGCGTTCGTACTTGAAAGTCGAGAATACTGTAAGTGCAGCATTCGATAGGACCTCAGCTGTTTTGGATTTTTCTAGAAATCGATTTGTGTTAGTAATATAATAAACGGCACGATTCTCGTCATCCCAATTAATCATTTGAACAAATGGCGACGCCGAAATCCCGAGTTCGATGGCCTGCAAATTTTTCGCGATCGATTTTTTGTTGGAAGGTGTACCTAACTACCCATATTATTATTATTATTACGTAGCTTTGCAGTGCGGTTTTTGTGTTATTTCCGCACAAACCGGTCATGGTCGCTCTTCCCTCTCCGCCAGCTTGTCACTCTTTCTCTCGCTGCCCCCACCGATCGTTGCGCAGCCACATACCTAAGCTTCGGTCCGGTTTTCAGACGAAATAATATTATAATATTGAATTCGGAACCCGCTCTGCCTGGCCGCGCCGAGGAGCGTTCGTGACACGGAACAATACGTGCACGCGGCGCGCCGACTGTTTAATAATATTATAATAGGCGTGGGTAGGTTACTTTATACAGTTCACCGGCTACTATACAATAATTCCCGGTGCACATAATATACCCTCCGCCGCGTACCTCATACTACAATACCTATATTACATTATATTATTATATATTATATTATATTAACGACGACCGAATATTCGTAGTGTTATTATTATAATGTCGTGATAAAAACGCATCCGTTCGCTCACGTATTGGTTAGTACACGGTCGTAAAACCAATGCATCTCTTGCGAGGTCACGTTTTCCGCCCGCCGCGGCTGTTACATATTATTATATAAAGCGAACCGCCGCCGCCGCGAAAAGGGATAGCTCCCGGAATAAATTGTCTTCGTAAAATATTCGTCGCCGTCCCGCGCTCATACAATATAATATAATATGACGAATATTATAATATTATTTATGATAATACCACATATGCGCATACGCGGACGTTTTTCTTTACGACGATTATGATGCGTGTATAGCATAATAAATAAAATCACAGCATATAGTTCAAGACGACAATAAATTCAATATTATATTATGCAGGGAGTGAATAATAATTATGTATGATGTATCATTATTTTATATAATATTATTATATATACGCACCGTGACGTGGACGGATTTCGAACGAAACATCTCTCGCCGACGCCAATCAGCCAGTTAATATTATAATATATAGCTGATTCTTGGGTGTACGCCCGATCGCGTGTGAAACCGTCATTCGCGAATTGGTCGAGCGTGCGCGCGCAAAAAAGTACTTGCTTATTTCATAGCAGCATAATAATATATAGCCACTTTTGCGGTGTCATCATTCTAGCTCATCAATAATATTATCTCGGAGTAGAATCGATACACGCTTTTCCGTTGACGATTTTTTTAGTATAGCACTAGTCGGCATAATTTATAACTTACAAATTTACGCGAAATCCAGATTCGAAGTATAGGTACAATCGTTGCTATACTTATAGTAAATTATTTTGACCAACCGCGGCTACTTTATAGTTCATATTTTCGCATGTCATGTCAATTGTATGTCAGTAGTATATCGTTACAAATACAATTTCACCTACTATAGAACTAAATATTTATTGAGTTTCATTCGTTTCCTTTTTCATCATCACTATGATGGATTTATTTCGCGAAAATTTAACAAGTTATACCTATACTTAAGCAATTTTTAATATTTGATACTAGCATTTTAAAATTGCATGCATGTTACGATTATGCATCGATAACGTGTCACACATGCAGTTATAAACAAAAATAGTACAACTAAAACAATTCACAACATTTATATCGAGGTTGTAGCACTAATTATGTGTACCTATACCTATATTACAATCGACCGATTGCATTTTGTTTCATCCTTTCCCCTGAATTATTACGGCTTATATTATAGTAAGCTCGGCTCGTGCGGGTGAATTTATTTTTTTTGTTAGCGCACAACAGACAAAGAAACTAGGTTAACGTCGGCGTTGGAAATAAAATCGATATGCTTAGGACTTGGTGGAGGTGGTGGTGGCGGCGGAAAACGGCCAAAGTTTTTTTTGTATGTTTACACAGCGCGTGGACGACCGAGTCTTCGCATCGGTCATCGTGTGTACGGCTTCGCGACGAACTCCACGAAATTGATACGCGCATATATTATATACATACATAGGTACGGCGTGATAATCCTCTGCCGCCGCAGTGCTATTGGAGTTGAGTCGTTTCGTAGAAAAGCGCCACTGCAGCGCGTACCTATACTACTGTCCGTGTTCTTGTAACGTCAATTTCTATGTAATCAAGTTTTTCATTAAAACATTAAATATATTTTACCTTCTTCAATAAACTACTGTTCAGAACCCAACAGTGGTATAAATAGCGTATAATAGGTGTACTGCTGCAGATTCTGACGAATACGATCCACAAATATATTATTATTGTGTTAACGTCAAAACAACATTGGCTTAGTAAAAAAAATATCACACTTCGTAGACCGAGCTATGAATATCTAAAATGTCGAAATACGCCAACAAAAAGTTTGGATTTCCACCATACATACATACATACATACATACATACAAACAAACAAACTAATAATTACAGTTCGAAGGTTGTAAAATGACAGATTAAAGCTCGAATAGCTACTATAAGTTCGTATATAAATAAAAAGAAAGCAGGATTCACCCCTCGAGTATCATATATTATATAAATATCTATATATATAAGTACTGTCTCATATTATACCCGAATTTCGGTTTAAACCAAATACAACAAATTAAACAACATGTACAATAATGATTATTATACATGGGCGTGATGATGTGTTTCAGGTGTGGTTCAAGAACCGGAGGGCTAAATGCCGGCAACAGGTGAAACAGAACCAGCAGCAGCACCACAACGGCACTGGAGCGGACAAGACGGCGTCGTCGAGGAACAACAACTCGGCCGGCAACAACGGCCAGAAATCTTCGGGCAAATCGTCGGGCGGTGGGGGCAACGCGCCGGTCAACAACAACAACAAAATGTCGCCGACGGTAAACGGCGGTGTGGGCGGCGGTGGCGTGACGAGCTCGACCGCCGGCAACTCGCCCGTGTCCACCGGCACGTCGCTGTCGTCCAGTCGACAGTCGCCGCCCGGCGGTGGATCGTCATACATCAAGCCGATTCTGACCGGCACGCCGCCACAACAGCCGTCCGCCGTGTACCTCCCGAGTTCCGGTAAGCCGAACGGTCGCACTCATATTATAGTATGGCCCTTTTACCCCGTTTACCCACCCACACACTTGTATACGGCTCTTAGAAGCCACGTGACCAGTTTTGACCACATACTCAAGGGAGCAAGGAGGTGTTGAGTGTGGGGACCGTTTTCCTTAATACGCCCGTTCCCCAACAGGGTAAATCCCGTGTGTTGCAAGGAACAACAATATAATATTATCGTATAGGCGTGCCATCAATTTATTTTTAATGCGCGTAGTGAGTTTACAATTCGAAAAGTGGGTGGCGTTGAAGGGGCCTGCTCGTATTGCTATAATATAGTGACGCCCCGGGGACTTTGTAGGGTCATTTATCCGGGCCCGCCTTTATCCATGTACACACGGCCTCAGTACAAATATATATTTAACCATGGCGAGAGATTTAAACGTCAAGTTTATTTAGATTTTACCTACGTTTCAACGGGTTAGACAACTATTACCGATAGGCCTAGTTTATTCAAATTTTATTTATTTTTTCTTTCTGAAACCGTTGCTTCTTTGGTCTTTCTTTCTTTCTTTACTGTAATATATAACTATGTAACTACGTTTAATTATTAGTTAGTATATTGTTTTTTTCTTATTCCGTCGTCCGTTTTCTTCGTTCGAAATATTTTAGTTTTGTACACCGTATAGTGCGTATAGTGGTAACGTTTTGAATTTTTTATTATCTCACAGGTGGTGGAGGTAATACGCCGGGATCGATATGGAGCCCTGCCATCACGGAACCACCGCCGGGACTAGTGGACTTGCACCATCACAGCACCAGGTCGTCTCCAGTAGGCTCCAGCGGAGGCTACTCAACCAACGGCAGCACCGGTGGAAACTGTTATTCGTCTCATCACCATCATCACCAACCGCATCATCACCATCCACACCATCATCACGCGGCGGCGCATCATCACCAGAACTACGGTGGTTACTACTCGAACATGGACTATCTGGCGCCACCGCCGACAATGTCGACGCATCAAACAGCCGTGAGTTGGAGTTAATTTGTTTATTAACAATAAAATATTTTTATTACATCAATTAATTTTGGTTGCACGATGCCACAGCAGAATTTCGCTTATTTTTAGACGACAAAATTTAAATCAATATGCCATGGCCCTCCATTTAGTCGTTTATTTGAGATTTTTCTGTTTTATTTTTATTTTTTTAAAACAGGCAATTTAGTCAGAGATTTAGTCATGTTTAATATTTGAAATTGGTTTTTCGAGCCCACAACAGTCCAATTTGTTATTCAAAGTTACTCGGTAGTACCCTTTCGAAATAAACCCCAATTATTATGGCGTTAGAGATACATTCTGCAATTCAGCCACACACGCAATTATTCCACGCAGGAAGGTGTCGTGACTTCGGGAAGGGTAAAATCTAGATCTCCCAAACGCCATGTGTACACAGTGGTTGGGGCGAACAAAAAAGGGTGTTGTGATGTGTACCTAAAGGAAAACCAATCTCGATAAGTGGTGAAGGGTTGCAGGGTGGTACTGGCTATGTTCAACACCACGTCTCGTGAAAATATGCATAAAACAAATACGATATGCAACTAAATGGAGAGAGCTAGAGGAAATCCATCCACCCGAATTCGTTATCTCTGCTCGTATATTAACGTAATAACGAGGAGTGTTTAGTAAATAATTTCGTCATGCGTCGAACATATATGTAGCGCTTTCGCTGTTTAAAACTTCCGTCACGAGTGTACTATAGCGCAGTTGACATAAACGATTATAGAGCCCATAGACGCCTTGGAGATGATATGTAGTTGGAGTTAGATCGATTTCAAAGTTTTTCTTAAAACGCTGAACCCTTTTCCTACAAATTGTTAAAGTCTGATCTGTCCCATAATCCGATCGATGTTTTGCGAAAGACTGTCGGTAAAGAAACTGACTGAGTTGTTGCTGAACACCCTCCGCAGGTTTTAAATCAGCCATCAGCACCAAACAGTGTTAATTTAATTTATTATATTGCCCCCCGAACTATACCTTAAGCCTAATTTCACGGCGTCCTCGAGATGTCGCCTCTATAGTTGAGTGTGTATGTGAGTCCATCGCTGTGTCAGCGATACTCGACACGTCGACAGTCAGCCAATTTCTTACATAATATTATTTTTTAACTTAAAATGTCATCATAGATTACAACAGCGGTCGTGTTTTTTTTTTTGTTCGCAGGAGAATGGTTCGGAGTCGGCTTGGGTGAAGCGCGAAGATGCGTCGTCGTGGTTTTACAACTCGGCGGGCTGGGAACGCAAGTAAACAACTGGAACCAGGGCCGGGGCTGTTGCACGCCACCGCCACTGCCTACGTCTGTCTTGCCGCCCGTCATCCACGGCGGGCAGAGATGTATCTTTTCACAGAGCGATCGACATAAGTGCATGTAAATAAATTATCGTATTCTCGCTGATGCCGAGGATGACGGCGGCCATTACACACAACAGCTGCCCTAAAACCACACAGAGATTATACAATAATATGAGAAATAAATATGCCGATATCATATTATCAAATTTTCGACTCGAGTGCTCACGTCAGACGTCAATAATATAAAAAAATTATAATAATTGTATTCAGTGTGGATGTGTGCTCGTTTGCTGCTACCGGTTCATAGATCGATTTATCTGCAGGAGTAAATTATAACGCGTTGTACAGGATCAACTAGAACAGGACTGACGCAGAATAATAAAATATTTATGTTAACGTATTATTTAGTATAACATGTGTGTGTAAACAGTAACGTGTATAAATTACGTATAATAATTACGTAGTGCAGTGAAGCCTCTCTCACATACACTATATATTTACCAATATTAATTAATAAGATTGTTCCAAATTTCAAATAGAATGTTTAGACAGTAATCTTTACTAAAAGAGTTTTGCCACACAAACACTAACTTATGAACGTTTTGTGTAAACGTCGACTTATTTAGGATTTTTAGTTTACAGGGAAATCTATTGATTTTATTTTTCAGAGGTTTCACTGCGTTTATATTAGTAATGCAAATGTCGTGTGTAAAATAAATCTTCAGTGATCTCGTTTAACTTGTTAATTTTCGAAACAAACCGTTATTGTCTTTGCAATAAACCTTCTCCTATACGCGTGGGTGATTCGTCAACTTACATCAGTCATATTAATCGACCGATTGAATAGTTTAAGATTTTATTTACTTAAACATCGCATAGGCAGAAATCCATTAAAATTTCAAGGGGGCTAACATTTTTAACGTCAATGTAAGCGGGAGACTTAGCACCTCCCGATTTCTGCCTACGGCAGAGGATCTAAAATATTCTAATACCGATCAAAACGATAACCGAATAATCTGTAATTAATGTTTATTTGAATTTGTGTACCAGTAAATCCTAGACTGGTTCCTAAATCGTGTAAATAAAAATATTTGTCCAATAGAAGAACACGGGTATCTCCAATATAACAGTAATAAAAACCATTTTAGCAATGTAACCATTAAACTTTTGTTATTGATTATAAAATAACAACTTAGGTACTAACACTGTACTAGATACCTATGTATAAGAAATTTGAATTTATTCGAATACTAGATGTTTGCCGATTGTTCGATCGGTTATTTACGAGCAAGTCGATAACCGATGATTTATTATGAAATTGCATAATCCCCCAGCACAATACACGACCACCCCTCGGCCACGCCCATAAACCATCGTATGTACACGTACACGATCGTATATTATGTTATTGTCGGACGTTAAACCGAACGCGAGCTGATGTACACACGCTAATATAATAATATGACGATACGACAAGCCAGGGGCGAGATTTCAGATTTTCAATAGGGGTCTGAACACTTAATAAGCGACCCACTTTTTTTTCTATCGCCGGGGGATTTGTAGCGTATGATAAAAAGGTTAAAAAGCACAGCTATTATACATCATTGTCACATCATCACTAATAATCACTAAAAATTAACTTTTTATCCTTTGCTCCTAGCTTGCGTATAATTGCCATAAATTGAGATTAGGAAAATATTGACATACGTAGTCGACTCATCAATGATGTTGCTCAATGATTGTTTTGCATATCCGGGCTACAGGGAAAATAAGTCACCTGAATGACGTACCGCGCCTATATAGCGTATTTATGGGGTTGAAATGTGTGGGAAAAGTGACTAGATTTTCTACAAGGATAGTTGGCGAATTCAAATGACATGCGTTTTTGTTATTAATAAATGTTGTGTAAAAAGATAGATGGCAAAGGCCGCAAGTATATGATTTGATTTATAATCGCTTATACCAGCCCAGGTTATCATAATCATTTTTCAAATTCCTAACGAATACGGCTGTTTGCAAATTTTTTTTGAATGTTGTCATATCGAATTTCAAAGATCATAAAAATAAAATAATTAGAGTCCGCTCTACGATCATATACATACATAATAGGTATATACATTTTATAAGAAAGTTGAGAGTAAAAATTTCTTAGATTTTAGATTGTTAAGAACATTTTAATATATATTTAAATATTTTATAGCATATTAGTCCATACCTAATCTATTTATACGACTACTGAAATGGCTTTTATAATATGAGTTTTTTCATATTTATCATCAAGCCTTCTTCAGTTATTATAGATCTAGTTTTCTGAATTATCAAGATGATCAAACTACCTATGGAAAACAAAGTTTAGTATTTTATAAATGTATAAACCAAAACAAAGTATTTTTCATAATATTTATTTAGAAATTAACGATTGTGTATTTTAGCTCAGACAAAATTATAACGGTGTTTGTAGGTCGGATTCTAAATCTTATAAATAAACAACATAACATTCGATAAAACAATTTTTTCAAATTTTTTGTGTTTATTATTATTACTACTATTATTATTATTATTATCATTATTATTATTATTATTACTATATACGTGTATATATTATAAATGGTGTGAATTTGGGGAGCGATATTTTTTTTTATTTTGAAGGGTTTAGCCCTCCCCCCCTATAAAGCCAACCCTTATATCCGCCAAAACTCTACGCTCTCCAAAACAGCGCCCCTGCACAAACTCGCAGGCCTATTATCGAAAATGGACGGACAATAATACCAGATGTGTGTAACGCGTAATCTTTTCAGAAACAATCGAACCGACGTACTCGTCGAGTTTTCCTTCTCATATACCTGTATTTTTTTTTTTTATTCTTCCATCACCTTTACTATAATAGTTTTTATATTTTATTGGACTGCCTTCAAAACCTTTTATTTAGTTCTGTACCAAAAACTATTTCATCTATATTAGTTCCGAGATTTTTTAACGGTCTTCGATTCAAAATCGAATGACTATTTGGTTCATCAATTAATTACGTTCAATAATTTACGTTTAGTAATTATACAATGGATATAACAAATATTTTATTACAAATCATTATAACAGGTGGGTATGTGAAAAAACACGATTCTACCTCATTGGGAACTCGGTCAGCGTCGTGATTAGCAATAGAAAGGACTCTGGTTGAATAGTTGCACCCAGCATAATAATAGCCACACTTAAACTCCGTTAAAAAACTTGGACATTATAATATTTATTTTCATTCTTCAAATCACTTTTTAACAATATCTAACAAAACTGTGTAGGTATTTATGCAATGTTTTTGTTTTAATAGTTTAAATCGAATTTCCAAACAACCGTTTCAAATATTATTATATTAAATCTTGTTTTTCATTTTATTATATTATATATAAAAACATATTTCAGTGGTGGATTTGTGCCCACCCGCCCCATCGGGCCTACGTGCTCACCCGTTATTAATGACGATTACGCGAGGGCGGTGTTGTTTATTACTCGACATTATCATGTAAATATTGAATTGGAGAAAAAAAATGATAAAAAAAAATGTTTGTTTATGTGTAAAAAAAAATAATAAATGTTGTGTACATTTCTCCAAACATAGGTATATATTATTATATAAATATTGTATTAAGCAAATGGTAACGAAATCTTTTTTTTTAGTATATTATTATAAAAACATAAATTTTAGATAATTATTTGCAAGTTGTATAATATTCTTATACTGAAAACAATATTATAATATATATGTGTAAAAAATATGTGTATGTTAGAATCGGTCTTTCTTTTTCAAAGACACGAACTGTGTTCCAAATTTTGTTTTTTTTCGCAATTAGTTTGATCGTATAACATTATATTATTATAATACACTACATCTATATATTATATATAAATATCATATTATATTGTACATTATTACTTTTAAGAAATAATAAATTATGCAAATTATTTTATAGTGTAAAATAAAAACTCAATCTACCATAATATAAACGTTGTACCTGTGTAATACCCTATTTGTAAATATCTTAATTCATAATCCTTAGATTGGTACATAATACTTGCACCGCTCAAATCTTAATTTAAATTTTAAGTCATTAGTGCATGGTAAGGATATTATGGTATTCGACCATTAGTATTATATTATAATATAATAAATGGTGTATAAAGACGTATAGGTACTTACAGGATATACAATAGTAGGTTTATAGACTATATATAGTCAGTGCTTGAATTTGAATGGGAATCAAAGGCACAGAGTACTTCTTGTGTTTTTTAATTATTTTAGCTCACCCCTTCTAATTACCTATATCCTTCCTAATCAATAAAAAATTTCAATATATGGGTACGCAAATTGTTTTTATATTTTTGCATCCTCCAGTCGCTTAAATAATTTAAATCCAGTTCGCCCTATAGAGGTACCTTTAAGTAAGTGCAATATTATATCAAGCGAGCTATGAAATATGATTTATTGGTGATACAGTCTAAGCGTACCTACCCCTATATATTATACTTAAAAATGAATATTTGATTCTGCTCAAAAATTGGATTTAATGATAATATTATATAGGTAAATACATTTATATTTTATAAATTATTTTATAAACAGTTAATATTATTATACCTATCGAACTCATTATAAATAATATGTATTCCACTTTCCAGCCGAATAACGCCAGTTATTCTGTATTCTGAAATTCAATAGTTGAACAATAAACAATTTATAAAATGCTATTATAACTATTGTCTGGCAAGATTTATGTGCTCCATAAGAACAGTTTATAAGAACATTGTTAAGTATAATGTAAGAATACAAATAAAACAAAAGTATTATTATATAAGTAGCCAGTACATATTTATTGTTATTGTCGAGCGAAGTCGAGTTGCACAGGAGTGCCTCGCACCAAATAATAGTGCAGGGCTGGCGGTATTCTAAATGTTGATACCGGTACCTGGTGATGTTTGTTTACCACTGCGGCTGCGGTATCAATTATACTGTCATGTATCGGTTATATGATAATTTTGGAGAATTCGAAACAGTTTTTCCAAGCCATGGAAATATAATATTTATTTAAAAATATATGTGTTATGTGTGTTTCACGACACGTAATTTTCAGTAGTTAAACTTTGTCAGCACTTCACTCGTCTAAACTTTAAATACTTATGAGTTATAATAAATTAACTGCTCATTCAAAGTTTGATTTTTTGGCAGAAGATCCATCATTTTAAGACTTAAACCTCGACTACCACAGGATATAATACTAGAACCCAAAGAAGACACTTCATTTTCAAATTCTGACTTAGACTTATATAAGCTAACCAAAATAAATTATTGTAACTTTGTAAAATCTTCGTACACATAATATTGTAATCATATTAATCGTAAATCGTATATTGTACTTGAAATTGTAAAAATACCTAGTGCATTGACACAATTAAATTAATAAATATAAAAAAAAAGTTTGATTTTTAATTCTCATAAAAATATTCTGACTTGGATTATGAAACTTAAAATGTATGCTGTCGTTCAAAAAAAATAATTAAGCTCAAAGATATAATTGTTTTTCAAAATGATGTTCTATAATGACATTAAATTATGTAAAAAAAAATATTTGCAAGACCATTATATTTTTTTGGTGTAATCAGTGTTCACCTTCAAAATAATCACTCTGTTACAGTATGTCTGTAGAGCTGTATATATCTGTTTATCAATTCTTAAAGGAAAATATCATCGATAATACTACTAATAACATAGTACAATATGTAAATAATATAAATGCAATCGAAATAAACGGTTTAGAGAATAATATAATTTCTATTGTTAGTTTTCAATTGAGTAATGAATAAATATTATATTTTTCTTGGAATTACCTCTTATCTTAAATAAACTATAAGTCATTTTTATTAACTTTTACCATTTATACCTTACCTCATTTTATAGCAAATAAACTTCCTTGATTTCTTATAGGTATAATAATAAAGTTATTGTAATTTGGATTTTTATCCTCTAATACAGTAAATAATTCATTACTATTAACAAAACTCGAGAATGCTAAATCACAAAGGTTAGATCGTTTTAAATCAAATCTAAATTGTAGAATTTAAATAGTAAAAATAAAGGATGAAAATAGACACATCGTAAACTAGCGATTTGTATGCATTCTGTACCTTAGGGAACCGTTTTTGAGTTAGTGTTATTTATAATTTATATTAATGGATTACTGAATTTAAATATAAAAGAAGATATAATTTGTTTTGCGGGTTAAGTTATTATAAAAATTATCTAATAAATCAATTAAATTATTAAAGTCATGGTTTGAAAATAACTGCATAGATAATAATAACGTAATAACATTTCAACAAATCTAATTTTCGAACAATTTAATGTTTATACATAACAATAATAATGATTTTTTGAATATGGCTCAACAACGAAGCATTTATTTGTTAAATTACCTCAACGCCTGATTTTACGTGGGTAGGCAACTTCACGCTGTAATCACTGCGGAAAGGTGTGGAAAGGCCACTGAGTGCGCCTGATCTCCCGCAGGTCGGCAACCTGGCATACCAGGAAAATAAAACAATATGTTATTACGATGCCAATGGAATGGCGAGAGTCGCCGTAAAGTACACCCGAAGGTATTTAACAGCTGAAGTTACTTAAATAATTCTCAAATACTGTGGACTCTAGCTGCTGATTTAAACAGACCTTATTAATGACATTAAGACTCGGTCTGTATAGGTGCAGCTATCAGTAAAAAAGAAACGGGTGACAATAAAGTTTTAACGAAACTTTTATAAGACAATCCAATATTTTTTTTAGATTAATTTCTGTCATGGCCATTAGGAAATTTTGTAAAATATTTAATTTTGTTATCAAACATTTTGTAAATTTCGTTCATACGCCTAGCTTACTGTCCTCATGAAAATATTTTTTGTTATTGAGTATTATGTTTTTATTGTTAAATTACCATAATATTTAACCACATAACAACCATTTAACGTTTATGTTGATTATCTAAGTAGGCACGAAACCTTAATATTTTATTAACAGCTATCCAACATTAATGACTTAATTTGGTGTTTATATCATTTGAGGTTATTTATTACTTTATTACTTTTATTAGTTATTGTCATTCAAAGTTGTCTTCTTTGTTTGGTATTTTGGGTTGTAACAGTTTTGTGATTTATATTCCAAAGTAACGATAACATTTTACTTTCACCAAAAACAACTTGAATTGATCCGTTTTCCATTATATATGACAGATTTATTAGCGCTGGCAGTTTCCTATCTTTTCCGAAAATCAACAGTAAGATGAAGTGACATTGTGACAGTCGTTTGTATTGACGTTGACGAGATTACGACGGTCGTGACGATGACATAACAGCTAAAAGAGTTTGCAGAACAATTTATAAACAATTTTTAAGTCATTGAAATTCAATTTGAGATACTCTTGACTGATTAGACTCTTGATTGATAATATTTGATATTCATAAGAGAAAAGAATAGTTTTTGTCGAATAAACGAAAAAAGATCGAAGGACCTTTCCTAAAGACTAACGTAATGACGAAGTTCAAATAATTGCCGATCATTTTCTAAACAGAATAATATATTTATTATTATTTTTATCACATTTGGTCAATATTGGTATATTAGTATGAAAATCTATTTATAAATCTACACACACTTATTTACTTTAGCCGTAAGTCAGAGGTTTATTTAGAAATATCTTATGGGAGTAGGGTTGCACAAACGAATATAAGGTATATAATTCAAAATAATGTAATGAAAAATAAAAATGCCCCTGCCGTATGCACATTTTTGAGTAATATTATTGTGTGTATAATCTTCTCAGCTCCTAAAAACAGTTGGCTGTCATTGTCATAATGTCATAACTAGGGCTGGGATTTGCACATAAATGCATATAAACTAAAACATGATAAATTAATCATTGCTGACACAGCACCATTTTTAAGATACCCAAAATAAATTTTTTTTTAATTATATTTAAAATGTTAATACTTCTCAACATAGAAGTTCATTTAAGTTGCCTATATTAAACCCCTCAAACGCTCAGTCTTTTGCAAACATTTAATTTTAAGGGGTTAGGTATGCATATTGATTAATGCTATTATTAAATTGTATACAAGGTGTACATGAGAGTAGTGAGTACCACAGTACATACCGACTACTGAGTTCAAGATGGTTATAATTAGTAAATAAAATGTGGGTGAGATTATAAAAAACATTGTGAACAAAGAGAACCTTTGTGTCATGTTTATACTCTCAAAATGTAAAATCTAGTAGTTTCGCATCACGATATAGGCGCTATAGTGACCGATTGTCTTTCATTCTAAATTTTGGGGGTGGTTTCTGGTAGAAAATTTTATTATATTTGGTTCTTTTGAGAGGTCAACATTTAAAACTCCTATATTTTTCAAAATAATTGGGAAAATTTTTTTAAAAATTTGGAAAAAAATAGGAATTTTTATGCAAAACCATTAATTAATCAAATAGATACGAGGTCACTGCTGTATTAATAATACCTAGTAAAATAAACTACATTAATGACAGTAATATCATAAAATATTCCGATAGTAATAAAGGCTGACAGCCTGACTTTAACTAAAATAGTTTTTCGTAGGTATACAAATATTTTTATCATTTAATTCTAATTTAACTCATAAAACATAATATTTGATATAGATTCTGAGCGAGCGATGAATGTATTTATTGATTTTACAATTAAGTGTTTTTTATTTGTATTTGTATCTGGATGGTGGTCAGTGGGTGCAAGCTATTTGATAAGTGTTGTCGAAATAATGCATCGATTTAAACTGCAGTAACGTGTCTGGTGGGAAAGTGAATCTAATTAGTGTATTTGAAAGGTCAAATTTGAAAATATCCAATGTATAGGGAAGAACTTAAAAACAGTTTTTGATAAAATCGATTAGATATGTCTTTTGGTTTAACTCAAAAACATATAACCTTGGATACTTGAAGTTGTCTCCCAATGTTTATACTTTATAGGTACCTATTATCATTTCCTAAGTGCCATAACATTTTGAAAATATTTTTTTAAGCTATTAATTTGCATAAAAAATGTTTGATTTTTATTAGTTTTTATTTTATGACTGTCAATAAAAAATGTTTCTCTCAGTAAAAACAATTTGGTACCTCATAATATGTTATAAATATTACCAACTAAAAAAATTATTTATGCTCAAATTCACAATGGTGCAGCATTCATACATTCATAAAATGTTTTTAATTTTACACTACAAGTAGGCATCTATTATATATTTAAGCTTAACTATGTTACTATGTAGGTCAGTACTCAACAATATTATGTAAATTTAAATAAACTGTGCTTTGTTCAAACCAATTAATATTTCAACATTTTTATCAATAGATGGTTATCAAAATGCAACTTATAATTGATTGAAAGGTACATAATATATTCACTTAAACAGATATTTCAGTATTTAAAAATAATTATAATATAGTCTACAATTTGTTGGGTTTGGAATTCACACTATTAATTGTACTACACTGTAGAACAATCGCTCAATATCTGAAGTTCTACGACATTATTTTCATTTCCATATTTTCATATTTTTAAAATAATTTTATCTGACGTTAGTTAATTATAAAAATTAAAAAAAATCTATCAAAAATATGAAGACTCTATCTATAACTTCAACAAATGATTTGTCGTTATTGTTATTTATACCTACATAGTTTAGCATTCCTTTTTGCTTGCATACAAAAGTTTAGTTTTATGTCACTCGTAGTCAGCTTTTTTTTATCAGGATTTAAGGTAGGTACATTCATTTCATTGGATTTTTCTACCAACTACTGTTTGAACTGTTAAATTTACACGTGTGCATTTTTCTTTATTTTGTTGATACATAATTATTAGGATAAATTGTGATTAATGTTCACTTTGGTGTAAAATAGTAAAAACATAACTATTGTGTAAGTATTGAAATAATATTACAAATATATATTACATAATATTGATATAAAATGTTCGCACTGCATATTATTATGTTTTAAATTTCCCATTCTTTGTACTATAAGTTTACTATGTTGTGTTTGTGTTCATATCTGGTACGTTTGCTGCGCAACGGTTTGTTCCGTTCACTGTCGCGTTATCGATATCAGCGTTATCAAAGTTGTGGGCTGACCCCACAACAGACATAAACTACGACTGTTGCCTCGACCGGTAGTCATTGTTACCAGGTAGGTAGATTAAGGAAGTTTAAGTCGATTTAAGTGGGATTGGGGTACTTGTCCCGAAATTTCATGGAGAAAAAAAAAAAGAGAAAAAAGAAAAAGAAAAAGATAACCCAACCTAGCCAACCGCCAAATGAGTTCAAATTTTCAATTTTAGAATTTAGTATTCCTAAATGCGCCGTCTTGAAATATATATTCAATTATGTATTTAATAATTCCCGCGTTTTTACATCTTATTGTTGTGTTTTGTAACGGTTTTTGCGAGACGTTTTTTCCAGTTTCCCACCACCCAGTCAACTCCCACCATCAAGATTCACGATGTACAAGCTACGAATTACGAACGACTTGCGAGTACCGACGACTCGCTTTTCAGCCTCTGGACATAGCACAACTGCTCAACTTTCGTGAGATTTTTGTGAACTGTGCCCTGTTTACCATTGCCGTTTACGCCTTTTATTGTCGTTGTTTAAAACTTTGACCATAGTTCATACCGCCGACTCTGTTCGTACTGTCGCACGTCNATTTTTTTATAATTAGTATTAAAAAATAAAAAAATTTTTATATTATACGTGTAGCGCAAGTGACTATAAAATAATATATTAAAAAAAAATTCAAAATATTGATAATAAAAAAAAAGGTATTGCATTAGTCAGTTCTTTTTGTTACACTCTGTATAAATATATATAAGTAAAGTTTAATTTCAGAAAAGCCAAGAAAAGAGGTGCATGTAAGGAAACGTTAAGAAAGCAAGTAGTAGATATGACATTACAAAGAGAATATACATTTCATGGTAAAAATTTTAAGATGAATGTCAAAAATATTATTTGTTTGTTTTTTATTGAACCAGTAAAGACTACTTTTGACGATATAGATTCTACCAGTTTACAGGTAAAATAGTTGAGTGTGCAACCGGCCTATATAAAGGGTAGGGGTGTGTTAAATGTAGGAATAAAGTAAAGATGACACAGTTTCCACGAAATAGGAATGATACTGTAGCAATAGAAGGAATTGAGGATTTTAAATAGTCCATCGAAAGCTTTAATAGTCATATTAAGTAAGTATTTAAAGTAACCTTGTGAACTTTAGAATTTTTCATTAACATGTGCATTCGAGGTAATCTAACGTTATTAAACGCCAAGTATCCATTGTTTGCAGAGTTCATTCCCATTTTACTGCCAATTTCGCCAACTTTGATTCCTGATAATGATTTTGAAAATATATTATATATTGAATAAATAAGAGTTCTAAACATATTGTTGATAATCATGATGAATTATATTTTTTTGATCATATTCATATTATATCAATATCAGTATGTCAGTACTTTAAATATGAGTTAGTGGGTTACTTTCGTTTTTCAACACATATCTATACACTCAGAAAAAAACATTTCTTAAAATCTAAATTTGTATTGCATTGATTTCTTAATATTCGAGTTTCATTCAATTAGTTATGAATTTCATTAAAATCATTAGTTTATAATCAATTACATAAGAATTATTTCAAATTAATGAAAAAAAAAAAAAATTGAATCAATTGAATTGCATCGAATTGGAAAATAAATATTATTTAAAGTAAGTAAACAAAAGTACTTAAATTTACGATAAAATGTTTGTATATGAATTTAAATTAATCTCTAATTTCGTTGATATAACGAAATATTTGATACTTAAAAATTAGGAAATAATAGTTTCATTTTAATTTGTTGGGGTCATTAATAATACGGAAATCATATTAGATACAAATAATTGGTTTATGTAATATTAACACAATATATACTTGAATTAAAAACAAAGTGACTATTTAATTTATTAACTAAAACTATAATTATTTCAAGTTAAATATCCTTAATAACAATGATAATATAATAGTTATAACGGAATTTGTTTGCTATTAATATACAATAGTATGGATTTTACTAAACCGTCAGATAAGAACGCCTGCCGCAGTCAAGTGACTGTGGGTATTTTGTGCGATTACCGATCTTTTCCCCCGTGACTTCGACGAACGACGGTGTCTCATGTCTTGCCTGTTCCTCGTGTTAATAATTAATATTAAGTATTTATATTTTATTTTTACAATTAAATATTGTGCTGTGTCATGGAAAATTTCACTAATTTATTAACTAGTACTGAGTTTGAATTTGATGGAAATTCGCCAACGGATGATTCAGAAATGAACGATTTATTATTGAATGACGATTTTATAAATGTATTAATTGAACTAAAATGCGATTGTTTCTATCAAGAATTTACAGGTAAGTTGAATATAATATACTATTATGACTAAAATATAGATAAGTTATTTATCAGTACTTAATATTCTTTAAGATTTTGGTATGAGTGTTGAGAGCCTAAAATACACAAACAGTAAGCATTTGGATGAATTGTGTCCAAATAGTAAATACGGTCAGAGAATAATTTTTGAAAACAATTTAATAAATTGGCAGGCCAAGTATAATATAATTGTGAGTAATTAATTTACTTATGTAATAGGTACTTATGTAAAATATATTCCAATTTTAAATTAATTATGAATTTACATACATATATTATATATACTGCAGGAAAGAGATACACCTGTAACTTGCTCATCAGATAGCCTTACAAGTTCTGAGGAAGATTCTGAATCATTAAAAAATTCCAGTAATATAAATCTCCAGAATAATGATCATGTAATCTATTAGCCATTGTCTAATTACATTATTTTAGTGATTAACTTAAACAGGTTTTCAAAACTTTATTGATAAAATATATGTTTGTCTGTCTATACTTTAGTTTAATATTGAAGAAATTTTAAAAAAATCAGGAAAAGGATTGATTATTTTAGAGTACTATAGGAAGAACAAAAAGTTGTCCGGTGAATGTAGGAAAAGTATAGCAAATATTGTAACTGAATATTTAATTCAGTATAAACTCCATGCCTCACCAAAATGTATTGAACATATAGCAGAAAATATTGTTATTTTTTTTAAGAGTGAAGTGAAGGTGTGAAAACTTTTTCTAATACTCAATAATCAATATATTATCACTGATTATAAATACTACCTATTATTTATAATCGATGATATTATATTATGTATGATTACATTTATTATTATTACTTTTCCATGAAATAATGTGCAAGGAAAAATATCTATTTGTCAATGCACAAATTAACTAATTATGTCTTATAGTAATCTTTTCTTTTATTCAGGAAACATATTTTATTAGTATTTCAAAACAAAAACCCAAAGGTATTTTATACCAAAAATACCATAACACCGTCTCCAAATTACGAAAATATAATCTTTAGGATCATTCTACCTCATCGTCATCACGGTTAACATCAACACATAACGATAAAACTGCTCTATTATCTGCACCACCAAAGGAAATTGGTAAGTACCTATATAAATTATTTATACAAATGTATTTAGGTTGCTATGCTATATCTTAATACTTCCAGTCTTTTATAATAAAATAATAATATATTTGTATTTCATGCAAAAATATCAATGTACATGTTATAAAACAAAACTTAATACTAATTATTAAAATAAAATATAAATAGATTCAAACTCCCCTATAAGCATAATGCTTTGGTGGGGATGAAAAGTTTGAGCTCATTTCAATCAATATTATTTAAACGTCTTACAAGAATAGTATACTACAGTTTGTATTATTGAGTTGAACTATTTTTTTTCTAACAGAACCAGCTTTGTTAACAATAAAAAATTGGCTGCATTTCAATGTCGAACCCTTTAATGAAGTTTGTGAAAAATGGCAAGAAACCGTAGAATATCGTAAAACATTCTTAAGTTCAAGTGAAATTACCATAACGGATATTTTAGAACAGTGGCCTTTATATAAACAGTCATTTGGACATCAATTGGTAATACACTTATCACTAACATTATTTTATTCCTATTAACTAGTGGCATAACAATAAATAAGGATAACAATTTTTCAGATTGATATTGATTTTGATTATATGTATCCTGGAAAATGTAATATTCTTTTTGATGGGTGGACAGACTTTTTGGTTAAAATAGAACCTTTAATGAAGAACAATATTAAAGATAGCTACAGTAAACAATTACTACAGTTGTTATCTGAAAATGATGTTGACTTAGGTAACATAACATATATTTTAAAAACTTTGAAATAATTATGAATTATTTGATGCATAAATTATTAGTTTATTTCTTATACTTAAATATTATTGAAATAGTTAAATAATATGTTTCAGATTCTAAAAATGTTCTAATATTAGTTCTTCTAAATGCCCTTCTTGTTCCAACTTCAAAGTCTCATCAAATTGACAAGATAACGGGAAGAAGACGTCTTGCCAAAACATCAATAGTGGATGCTCAAAAATCATTCTTGTTACATTCACACAATATTAATGATTTGTATAATCAAATTCAAAAAGAAATTGACAACTGCTACAGTTTAAAGAAAACCTTGCAACCAATAGTTTGTATTGTAGGAAATGATTATGTAAGCATAAAAGAATTTTATGTATATTATTTTAACACTTATTACAAATTTACTAATATTGTTAAAGCCATAGATACATGCTTTAAAATTATACATGTGTTTAATTTAAAGTACCAATTGCAGTGTGAGTTAGTGTGGACATTTATTCAAAAATATATCTATAAAATTGACTTAAACACTGATATAAAAAATGCTCCTTTAATGTCTCTAATTTCAGATATGAGAGATTAACTAAAAATTATA